TATATTTAAACACTCTTGGTAATATCTCCGGTATATCTTCCTCGGTGTTATATGTCTGGTTGTCCAGTACTTGAATGAATTTACAGAAATATCCAGGGTATCTGAAATGCTTTTGTAGATCGGCACAGCAGTGTTTTCATTATTTTACATAAATGCGTGCATTACTAACTACATTTTGTAGCACAGGGATAAGTACGTTTAAAGTTGATATGGTAAGCTGAACTGCTTTTAACAGACATGACAATGTGCAAAGCTACTTTTGAGATGATTTCTTGTGAATACGGCTTTCGTTTTTAAAGAAGCGCTGACAATCTCTTGCTTACCTAGTTATGAGTATTGACATCGACAAGTGCCTTAGCTGTTAAACCTGTTATCATTTGTTCAATATATGTCCTGCGTGAAACATCTATTCAATGATACACTTTTTGATTTTGAACCAACGTTTATTTATCAGATCAGTTGAAGAATATTGAAATGGAAATCATCATTATCAAAATCGAGTGCAATTTCTTTAAAAAAACACAAAAAAACTAAAAAATAAAACCAATTATCATGATGTAATACTTACCATAGCGTTACAGTAGTATACATACACAATACCTACACCCATCTTTGTAGCCCAAAAACAAAGCCCGACCTCCCTACCGTGACCTAACCCATATCTCGACGACAGAGCAACGGAGTGATCTCCCATCTCAAACTCCTTTTATGGAGCCTAAATGCAGCCGGGATGAGGAGGCAAGGGGAGGAATACAGGGTGGGACTCCATCAAGTTATGGCAAGTTTTACATCATGAATATTGATTTTACTTCAAAAACCTCAATTTCATTTCAGTAATAATTACCATAAGTTTAGTATGCGAATTCGTCTTACCGTAGTGGAGAATTCGAATCCAGACATCCCAGGCTGACGGAACAAACTCGAGACATGCTCAATGTGGGGAAAAGGTTCAAGGAAACCCCCCAAAAAAGCCCCGAAAGTAATTCAAAATGGAAAACCTCCATGTGAAACGAGTAGGTGATAGCATAGTAGTATATAAGAAATCACGGAATTACTGTGGAGGAACAGCCACAGACTGTGCAACCACCACCGGTCCAAGGGAATACAATCCATCGTAATGAGAAGCCAATGACCGGAGATAAAAATCCGTGAAGGTAGTCTGTCCGCGCCAGAAAGCCGCGGACATGACCTCCTGTAAGGAGGACCTATTGAGGAGGGCCCATGACGCAGCAAAGGCCCTGATCTCATGAGCTCTTACCTTATACAACGCCCGAACCTGATCATCTGAGTGGTCGTAACCGTACTTGATGACCTGACAGATCCATCTAGACACTGACTGAGAGGGGACATCCTGTTGACCCTGCTTAATGGGCAAGAACAGGCGAGATCGAGGACCCCGTATTAGAGATTTAACACATATGCTACCACTTCTATCGATGGCAGTACCTGTATCTATCTATTTATCTATTATTCATATACTTTTCATTCCACTAAATATCCTAAACATAGAGACGTTTTCAAAAAACATTTTGCGCGAGATATGCCGTATATAAAATAATATGCAAGTCATATCTAACACAGGACACCTTTCTTTGGCCAAAGGAACAAAGGACACGATTTTTTACACAACAAAAACTTACTAAAGCAGATGTGAAATCATTGCTTTGGAAGGGTACACACTTTTCCTTTTTTATTATAAAGTATGACAATATCTACTCGTAACAGGAACCGTTACACCATAAGCTAGCCAAGTATTCACAAGTGATGGATCAGAAAATGATCACAATGCCATAATACTAGGGTTGTGCAACCGGTCCTATTTTTGTAACCAGTTACTCTTCTACCGATCGAGTAACTGGTTAATCGGTCAATTTGGTAGTCAAAAGATAAACAGCAATACATACATTATATGTTTGGAAAATGTTCTATCTAAAACGTATTTACACCACAAACATACATGTATATATTAATCAGCATGATATTTTACTCGTGTACTTTAAGGTTTACACAGGAAATAATTGCATGTAACCTCAGTAATTATATGTCATGGACAACGAATGTCGGAATGCAGTAAGACAGATTCAATTACAGTTATCTGTACTAGAAACCATATGCGGAAATATTATTCTTTAGAACAAAGTTTGCTTGACAAACGTTTTAAGAAATACTTGCTCATTCAAGTGTGTACTCTTCAGATTATCTATACATCTCTCATGCGTTCTATCTCAGAAAGTTGATATACCACAGATTTGTATTCTGGCTTCCTTTTAAAATCTGTTCAGATTTGTATGGTGTTGGCGACATCTCGTTGTCAATATTCTAATTAGAGTACAAAATAACACTTACATGTAATCCATGAACATGTTTTTTACAAAACCTTTCAATTTTGGTCGCATCTATACAAATGCAGATAGATTGTAGTTCTAAGCAATAGACATTTGGGGCTCCCAAAAGGGGTAAGTAAATGTCCGACTTTTCGATTAAAGATTTTGGTTAACCGGCTAAAAATTGGCAACCCTACAGAATACATCTACATACCAAATGTCGACAAATCAGGACCCGACCTAACACGGACACATTGTCAAATTAAAAAAAATCAAAACAGATCGCAGTAGTGTTTGTAGTGACACTGCACACTTTTACATAGCGATATTGGACATTTCGACAAATCAGATCCCAGTCTGCAGCAGCCGTTTTGCGGAAGATGTTGGCCTGTTTCCCAATCTTGAAGAACACGATTAAAATATTCAAATAAACAACTTTTATTGTTGTCAAAAAATCAGAACAGAAATTATTAAAGCCTGGAATGATAGGCCATGATTTAGATCTGTTCGGAAACTTAACATCGAATATCGACAGTGACTACATGTATTATGTAAAAGAGTGGATTTATTAGGTTGCCTTACAAGCGTCAGCTGTAGGGAATTTCCCTTCAGCTTAGCGATAGAGCATCGGACTGGAGAGCCATAGGTCGTGGGTTCGAGTCCCAGCGACGGCACTATCTGTATTACTTTTCCTCGTCCTACTACAAATTGGTGCCGTTGACCCTCGCCGTTGAAGGTAGGAGAACCCTTGTCGCGGAGTCAAAGAACTTAGGTTGGTGTTTGAAAAAGAGGGGAATAGTGTTGGTTTGGTTTGGTTTAGTATTGTTTAACGTCCTATCAATAGCTACGGTCATTTAAGGAATGCCTCCCCTGTATGCAAGATGAATGTATGTAGTGTATGCGTGTTAAGGAGTGGATTAATTGGGTTGTCTCAAGGGCCAAGGGTTGAGGGTTGAATCCCCAGCGATGGCACCATCTTTATGGCTTTTCCTCGTCAAACTACAATTATATGTAACTACAGTACACCTCTATTACTATGATACTTGTATCCCTCTGTACAACCACCCATGCTTATACATTAAATTTATGTATGTTACATATCTTTGTATAGTCAAAGTCAAATGTGTTGAGATAAAATAAAACAAGAGGCACAGGGGGCCTGTATCGCTCACATGGATAATAAAGCAACCATGGAAAATTATTCTTATTGCAAACAATCCCTCCAATGGTACAGACGGAGAAGTATTTTAAAGAATTAAACTTCAAATTCCCCCATTGAGCCCCACAACTCTGCACCCATAGGGGCCACACCTATCATCTATACACAATTCAGACCCCTTTGCCTAAGGATACTCCAGGTCAAATTCGGATAAAATCCCTCAAATGGTACATTAGGAGAAGGATTTTAAAGATTCAAACCTCAATTTTCCTTTTGAGCCCCGCCCCTCTTCACCCAAAGGGCCACACCCACCGTTTATACAAGATCAAGTCCTTTTTGCCTAAAAATGCTCCAGACCAAATAAGGATAAAACCCCCTTATCCCTACAGAAGAAGCAGGGTTTTAAAGATTTTACCTCTATTCCCCCTATTGGGGCACGCCCCTCTCCGCCCAGGGGATCCAAACCCACCATTTTAACAAGATTGAGTCCCCTTGGCCCATGGATGCTCATACCAAATTGTGACGAAATCCCACACCAATCATTTATACAAAATTGAGTCCCTTTCCCTAAGGATGCTCCAGGCCAAATTAAGTCAAAATCTACTGTGTCGTTCAGGACAAGTGGCATTTTAAAGGGAACCCATGGCAACGGGCAATATGCCTACTCCTAACACGATTTCTCACCAGTGTGAGAAACCGTGCATAGGTGAGAAATTGTGTTGCGAATTTGGGGTGAGACATTCTGCCGTAACATACGATCCCTGATCTGAATTATAAATGAGAATATCTCGGTATTTTCTTTGTTTGTCAAAGTATACTCGATCTACAGTTTTTGTTAGCATATGCAACCTAAATGGCACAATGATTTGTGTATGGCACAGACAATATATGTCATTCTAACGTAATATGATCCGAATGTCGAACCATCAATCAAATTAAATTAAATATATACCACAGTGCCAAAACACCAAAATACATTTTAGAAGTGCCTTTGACTCTGATCCTTACCGTATATATATAGTAGGAAGAATTATAAATAAATGATTTTTTTTTCATTCTTGATGCATATTCCATTTATTTACAGAATATGTATGATCTAGATATTACGTTACTAGACCGTTGTACCATTCTGTACTCAGATATAACGTATCCAAATACCAATATATCAATCACCCCAGTCTCACATGGTAATAAAAAGATTAGTATAGACACATGTGACTAGAAATGAAGACAAATAATATATGTTTGATTGATGAAAGACTTTTGATTGCGATTTGTTTCAACCAATGACCTAGCCTCTCTCGTAGACTGTCAGGTAAATGTCCATCATATTTATAAGCAATCTCTTACAGACTATTCGAGAATATTATTCATCAGATTGGACACCCAATTTGCGTACACTTCCTCTCATTTGAGACTGCAATATTGGTAGATTACTACTGTGAAAAAGAAAGCCTGCTTTAGAGGCAAGATATGGACATACACTAAGTATATTAGATGAATAAAAATACAACGCGTTAAATTGGTGTTATCTTTATTGAAAAAACACGAAATGCATAGGTTAGTGGTAAATCGTACAAATTAACAAACAGCCAAATGCGATACATGTTATGTACATTTAAGTTTTATCTAAAGGTGAATACAGTATAATTATGTAAAGACATTTAGACATAACAGAGATACCCAAACGAGTTTCCACAGCATCGTTTTGATAATAGTTACTTTAGTGAGCTTATAATTGTCAATAAACATTGAAACACGTTTCAGATTCTCTTTTATCATGATGCGCACATGTACATAAATGTAGAAACAAAATTACACAAAATTCTTATTAACTCATTCACCCATGAAGGAAGATTTGATTTCTTCTAATTCAAAGGTTGGAATAGTTAATTATAAAACTTCAGGGGTGAATGAGTTAAACCGAAAGCATTGATAAGTAAGCAACATATTGAGTCTACATGTGGTGTTAATACAAGCATGGAATACAATACACGGAGTGTTATTCAATATGCAATTATTTCGAAAATGTTAATAGACATATTAAAGTTTCAATTCAGAGTAATAAACTGTTATTAGGGCCTGTATTCATGAAACTTTTTTCAAAGCTTGAGCACAGAATCTGTGCATGAGCATGAGAACGGTTTCATGAATACGGGCCCAGGTGTATGCTTCGTGACACATATGTAAATTAATTCCAAATTAGTTTATCAAGATGTGCGGTAACCATCTTGTAGCAGACATTTATTTTGTTCAATACTGAACCAATTTAGCAATAAATATACCATGTAAAAAGGACATCACCGTCTCGTTATACTAAAAGTAAAAACTTCAAATTATAATAGCTGGACATTAAATGTAGAAATATACCTAAATAAAACCATCAAATTCAGCAAACTATACTTAAATGTCGGTAATCATACCACGGCAAGAGGTCATACCATAAGTAGGAAATATAATAGAATAAAAAATAAGTCTAACATATCTTGAAGGTAGAACAGAGAAATGTTCAACCCTCGGGATGACGATTTGGTTGTGTATCCCTTTAGCCGAGAGTTGGATCACCAAATGTTCATCCAAAGGGTAGGATATTTCTCTGTCAAATCTTCAATGTAGGGGACGATTCTATAAAACCTATATAGCTTTCAACCATGGTACATTTTGTAAGCTAAAACGTTTATTCATAATAACTGGATTATCCGAATACGATGCCATGCAAATCTATCTATATTTGTGTTAACGTAGTTTAGCAGTTTAACAGCAAACTAAAAATATTGACGTTTACATTCGATTACGATTTCTGCACTTCAAATTAACATTATGTATATAGCATACAGTTCACAAGCAGCATTCAGGGCGAGTCCTCATTTTGCACAAGAAGGTTGTACTCCACATCCGGCTTTCTCTCCTCTTGCTTCTTCAGATTGGAGACCAACACCAGCAGATGTGTCACTGCGAGTAAGATGGAGACAAGCACTGCTACAAAACCCAACACCAGAAATCCGTAGCCTTGATCCGTTACCTTCATCATGGTATATATGTCTCCCAAACGCGACATCTGATGCAGTTGTTGCGCATATGCACCTAGTGTGACGCCCAGCAGTATGGCTGAAACAGTAAAGGAATATTATAAAATCGGAAATGATATTAAGATATAGCTTCGGCCGTAATTTGATAAAATGGTCAAAGACCACTTCAATTCAATGACAAGGGACATAGTCAATTCACAACCGGACCAACGAATTGGTCAATTAAACGTGTAACAAGTTACACATATTTCAAAATGGATTTTTGCCAAATTTGCCAATTTTCTTCTCTTTCAAGACGCTCTAATTTATGAATCCATCTCAAAATATCTATAAAGACGAATTATTTCTTCATAATAACTACATGTAAAACTATGACAACGTCCATGATAAATTGACCCATGGGAAATATATTGATATCAAGTATTACATGAAAATTTGTTTTTGTATTTAAAGACCCAATCTTAATCAATGTTAGATTAATAAATCATTTAACCCAATTTACCGTTCACACATTTTAAAATAACCATTAACTGCTTACTGGCAATGGATAGCCTACAATCTATTTTGAAACGGCATCTGCAGATTAGAGAAAATGAAATCGTTAGAATAGGACATATTGGTCTGGTTGGTAGCATATGCAATGCTTTCTTTGCGGAAATGTTTCCTATACACAAACATACTCGCTAAAAACGTCATTGGTTCATACCTGCGACCAAGTGACTCAGAGCTGAACAGGTGACGATCAGTGGTTCCATCAGCCCTTCTTTCTCACGCATGCTTACAGATGACGTCTTAAGTGCGATGACGGCAAACACCAAAGCCAGAGTCACTTGTATCTCGAAACGAAGGGCCACAGTCCCCACTAGATCTGGAAAATTATATTAAAATTTACCATGTAGTTAATTAATTTAAATTTTTAAACATAATTAATTAAGTTTTTGATTGTCGATAACTAGGGCGGTAGCTGAACTACATAAAATTCCCGTTCCCGCTAGTTGTTTGCTAGTGCAATATTAACTAACCATTGTAATTTGTTGCAAATATAACCTTATTTTGCTCGTTATACGAATTTTCCTAAGACATTTTAAGATTTGACATGACCAATTTCATTTTCTAATTAATATTGAACTTCGACTCCTTACTAAATGCAAAATTTACATTTTTGTTATAGCCATCTTCGCTGTTTAGTCGATCTGCAAATTACCTAAGTTTTGAAGGTAACTAGAAGAACGGATCCACCAAGAGTGGTTAAAATTGGACTGGTAAGAACGAAGAAGATATAGTGTCTTGAACTGTGATCCATGACGATAAAAGGAAGTAAGTACTTTAATTGAAAATAAACAAGACAAGAGCTGTTGGAGAACAGCATATTTCGTTAATTTGTGATATATTTAAGTTAGTTTATATCAGTACAAATACATATATTTTAACATATTTTAGGTTGCTTAACTCATATTGGTTTTTTTAGCATCATTCTTTGACATACAGTATAGGTAATCACGCAAATTATGAGCAACAGTTACGATTCGGTGTTAAATATAGATATATATATATATCCGATTATTACGATATATAATTACAAAGAAAAAAAATTGAAATTAATGTAACACGTAAAGGTGTACGACATCATAAAAAGCTCCTCATCAAGTTGAATTTAAAGTTATCCCTTTTGGCCCCTAAAATATGTAAATATAGTTAATCTCATTTTGTACATACTACATCAACGCCTTTACCTTGTAATTTTCAACAGACTGTGATGATCCACCACTACACAACTAATCGTCTATTTTTTTCTACCTAAAGCTACCTTGAAAACGTTAACAAAGTCCAATTTAGCGCTGTTTTGACTAATAAAATATGACACTGTTATTCAGCACATTCCTTACACGTCAACAAAAGCTCGACCTTGTACATATAACAGTCAACACCCTATCAAATGTGGTGAAGTAATATTGCACAAACAAGTTCTCAAAAAGGTTAACATAAATCCTTCTTAAAAACTTTCAGCCCAGTCCAGTTAAGCTGATTTTGTCCCTAAAATATTAAAATTGGTTTAAGCATATTACTTACACCCCCAACCTGATAATAGTCGACAGCCTCTTGACTTATAATGCACTACTGTCTGAAACAAAGTTGCTCTAAACTTACTCTAAACACCAAGTTGGACGCCCACGCCAGAGAGACTACATTGGCCATATTATTTTCTTCGGACAATGTGTGGTACCAATTCAGTGTAACATATTTTGCTATAGAATGTCTTAAAAAATATGTTATCGTCTAGTTATAGGTGCTGTTCTAGCAGCCATATTTATTTTATAGTTTCCACTTATGACTGCCGTGGGATCCAAATGAAGACCACGTGGCAATTAGGTCCAAAATGCGTCTTCCTAAGACCATAACTTAAAACGTGTCAAAGTGTTTAGCACGTAACTGCTGCCGTTAAGTAAATAGATAGTAAACTAAATTTTTAGAGAAATATAATTCGACAATGGGTCTATTCACCTCATGTTAAAATATCTAATCATAATACCATAGTACAGCTTATAAATGAATACCATAAACACAAGTATGGCAAATGAAGAAAAAACCGTCTATTAAGATTGAACGTCTGAAAGAGCTAGAACCACGAAATAAACAGAAAACATCATACACAAAAACTGAATTGTGCAGTATCAGCATCATAACACCTTATGCAAGGGTCCCATTTTTACCATCCCCTTTCCGGCCCCCTTAGGGTAATAAAGAAACATAGTTCCTTTTGATTTTTTTTCTCCCATCATCAGAATTAAAACAAGAGGCCCAGAGGGACTGTATCGCTCACCTGGATATCTAAGCAATCATGGCAAAATATTCTCCAAATGAGATCCAAGGGAATATGCCGAACCCCAAGGACAATCCTTGTAGTATATCTGTATTAGATATTTCATGCCCTGCAATTTTATGTATGGTTATGGGGTGGAATCTCAAATGTTTCGAAGCTGTGACTAAGAAACTAGGTCCCTAGGGTTAGGGCCAGACCCCAGGATTAATTATTTTAATATGACTGCATTCAGCTCTTTTTGCCCAGCATTTGTATTTTATAGTTTTGGGGTGGGAATCCCGACCGTTTCAAAGTTACGACCCAGGGGTTAAGTCTGCAAGGGTGGGGTAGACCCTTGGGTCAATTCTAATATAATGACTGCATTCGTCTCTCTATGCCCAACAATTGTATATATAGTTTTGGGGTGGGTATCTTAACCATTTCGAAGTTATGACCCAAGTTCCCAAGGGTGGGGCAGACGCCAATGCCATCCTTGAAGCATATGTGCATTCATCTCTTTATTTCTCAGCAATTGTATATATGGTTATAGGCTGGGGATCTCAACTGTTTCCAAGCTGTGACTAAGAAACTAGGTCCCTAGGAGTTCGGTCAGACCCTAGGGTCTATTCTAATATCATGACAACATTTGTCTCTTTACGCCCAGCATTTGTATATATAGTTCTGGGTCGGGGATTTCAACCGTTTCAAAGTTATAACCCAGGGGCTATGTCTCCAAGGGTTGGGCTAGACCCTAGAGTCATCCTGGAAGCAAATGTGCATTCTTCTCTTTATACTCAGCTATTGTATATATGGTGATACGGTGGGATCTCAACCATTTCCATGTAATACAATTTTGTTGGCCCCACCCCTTAGCCCGGGGGTTCAGTCCCACCATTTGTACAGTTGTGAATCCCTGCCTCACATGAATGCTTCCGACCAAATATGATCAATATCCATGGCATAGTTCTGCAGAAGAAGTCGTTGATAGCAATATAGCCAAATTGATCCCTTTTGACCCCGCCACTCCACTCCGTTGGGGATCAGCCCAACCATTTGTACAACTTTGAATCTCTACTACCTAGGTATGCTTTCAGTCAAACATGGTTGATATCCATACCTTAGTTCCAGAGAAGAAGTCGCTTAAATCGATAAAGCCAAATTGCCCCGTTTTGGTCCCGCCCCTTTAGCCCCCTGGGGGGTCAGCCCAACCATTTGTACAATTTTGAATCTCTACTACTTAGGGATGCTTCCAGTCAAATATAGTTGATATCCATCTCTTAGTTCCAGAGAAGAAGTCGCTTAAAGCAATATAGCCAAATTACCCCATTTGGCCTCGCTCCTCAGTCCCCTGTGGGGCCAGCCCAATCATCTGTACAATTTTGAATCCCGACCACCTAATGATACTTCCAGTCAAATTTACATGTAGTTAAATTCCAATCCGTGGTTAAAAAGAAGAAGTCGTTTAAAGGAATTCTTGACGTACGGACGACGGACGCCACGGTATGGTATAAGCTCACCTTGGTCCTTCGGACTCGGTGAGCTAAAAAAGTGCTCTCTGGCGGAATCGAACCAAATATTTGCTGACAGACATCAAAAGGCACCATGTTGACATCTAACCACGGATATTGGTTTAAAAACGATTTGCATCACGTTCGAGGTACAGGTCAGGAACTACTGAGTTTACGTCATTTTGACAGAAACCGGATATATATCCGTATTGCATCGAAAATTAAAGTTGTCCTGTATTCTTCACCATATAAACTGTATGTCTTCACCCCCGAGTTATTGAATGAAGCTGCTAGGATGTATTTTTCATTTTTAATTACATGTACCCAATAATGGGTACATGTTACAGTCTGAACGTTATTTTATTGGTCAATATTTCAACGACGACGTCATGCTACAATGATGTACCCTGACATCCTCTATTGTGACGTCATAATTCTCGTATTTATTGGCAATTGTTTCTCCGATCGAAATAAAGGAATCATGAACTTCAGAAAGAGGCATATGGTTTTCAATATAATATGTTATCTGTTTATAATATATATCTTACTTTTTTAATGTTCAAATTGTAAAACCCTGTGTCCTTAAACAATGTGAAAAATACCTAAATAAAGTTAGGTACAGACTAACCACGATCACTAACCACAACTTTTTTGGGGAACTTTATATATTCTTTTTAAAAAAAATGCAATGCAAATGCAACGTATGTTAAGAAACGTGAATTGAAAGTATAATTAAACGAATAGTGTATGATTTCATTTTAATTGATATGTACCTCTTATTTCAGACATCTGTATATACTTTGTTATCATATTATACTTATATTAAAATGCCAATTGCACTATACATGAAAGCATAGACCACTCCACTTGGCTGCAGCGGCGGATCTCCAGACACCTATCTGGGGTGTGGGGTGTGGGTGTCCAAGTGGGGTAAAACTGTGAGGAAAATAGTGAAACTACATGATTTTTAAAGAAAATTATCGGGGGGGGGGNNNGGGCAAGGCCTGAAGCCAAAAAAAACACTCTGGTTCCGCCACTGTGCTAAAAACACTAATATGATGTATATACAGTACATAGTACAGCCTCTGTGGACTACTCACTGTCACACAATGTCTTAGTAAGATTAGCACATGTCCCGCGTGTATATCACCTGTAAGGGCGTCTCCTGCTTTGTCTCCAAACAACATTTTACCGACACCCATCTTGTCTAACATAGGTGTCATCAGCTGAAATCCGTATTTAATGTCATCCCCAAGCGTTGAGTAGAAACCTCCCCATGCGACTTCCTTTGGGGCTGTTGATTCCATCCAACAGCGCCAAATTCCAAGTGACACACTCACTTGAAAATCACACGGTGAGCTGTTCGATTCGACCGTTGCAGGTAAGCTCATCTGTGTTCCTGACATGGATGCCATACTACCCATGAGTTTGTTCAAATCAGTCATCGATATGCATAGTGTGTAGCTGATTAGATTCGGCACGTAAACCACGACTGCGATTTTTAGTATCAATACCACCGAGCCGATAAACAACAGCACATTCAACAATTTCGCCATCTTGGTTAGGTATGTTCGATTGCAACTTCCTGGTTGTCGGTAGTTCAATGTAATATAATATAATATAAAAGATTATAGAATCGGCATTTAAAAACACCTCGTCTTGACAATGAGAAATATATCCACTCGGTTAAACAAGGACTTGTATCCTGTGTCAGGGCTGGCACAAAATACGACCGTATATAAAAGGTATTTTTTCGTAACTCTAGCTCTCGGCATATGCGTACTGAATCGATGCATTATATATATATATTTTTAAACACCTTACCTTCCTATAGAACAAATAATACTAACACGGTTTTACAAGGTAAACTGGGTGATTGATCGACTAGGACAGTGGTGCATTAGTTACAAGGAGATACGACAAGTGCATTGTAGGTCGCTACTGCACGTATTTGTAAATGTGTATTGTTAGGTATCATAACAAACGTATAATTTGTACAAATAAATACACCGTTTATAGTTTTCGATGGCAGCATGTTTATGTTTAACCTAGATAATTATTACACGAATTGCATCTTTTAGTCAGTGAACACATACGGTTGTCAGGCGAACAAGGTACAGTTGGACAGTTATTCGTTATTCGTAATTAGTTATTCCCGGGGGCAAAAGTAAAGATAGAAAGTTATTCGTTATTCAAAATAAAAATAAAAAAAATATTGTAAAACGTGGTGCCCACATCGAGTTTCATTCAGATTGAAATAGGCATTCACTCCGGCATGCCGATCCTCTAATCTTTAGACACGTGATGTGTTCATATTACATTGAAATACCGACAACCAGGAAGTTGCAATCGAACATACCTAACCAAGATGGCGAAATTGTTGAATGTGCTGTTGTTTATCGGCTCGGCGGTATTGATACTAAAGATCGCAGTCGTGGTTTACGTTTACGTGCCGAATCTAATCAGCTACACACTATTCATATCGATGACTGATTTAAACAAACTCATGCGTAGTATTGCATCCATGTCAGGAACCCAGATGAGCTTACCTGCAACGGTCGAATCGAACAGCTCACCGTGTGATTTTCAAGCGAGTGTGTTACTTGGAATTTGGCGCTGTAGGATGGAATCAACAGCCCCAAAAGAAGGCGCAAATTATATGTTCCTGCTCCTGGCTCGGGGAGAATGCCTATTTCATTTTAATTAAACTCGGTGTGAATACTCTCTGAGGCACCCCCTGTACGTGTAACCTTTCAACAGCTGGACACTGGCATCCGTTTAACACTATTTTTCTTTTTGATTTTGAATAACGAATAACGAATAACTGTCCAACTTTACCTTGGTTATCAGGCGCGGATCCAGAAATTAGACTTAAAGAAGGGCTGTACAGGGGCGAGGGCCTGTTGAGTGGAGCGGGGAGGGGATGGGACAGGAGTCTGGGCCCATTGTCTGTTATTGTAAGGTTGGTGGGCTAGTCCCAACCCCCTAGGACATATATTTGAAACTAGCATGTTATGTCAACTCTAGTCAGTCTATACTGTACAGAACGTGTGTTGTGGTTGTGCCAGAGTACGGGTTTTAGTATCTTGCTTGTGTAAGTCAGTCTAAAATGTCTTAAGAAACTCTGCTTTGCTTCGTATTTGAATAAAAATATTTCATAGTTTCATCAAATTTATACCTTATACCCGTAATACAGTGTGTTCAATAGATGGTGGAGAGACAGGTCGCATCAGAATGGTTGGTTCCATTTATGTTTCTAATCCGGACATTGTACCAGAGAGTGTTGGAGGGAGAGAACACTAGGTCTCGGATTGAGGTAAATACTGATATGGGTGACGCTCGGGACGGTGAAATTATTCAAATTTAACCGGTGGCTACGATGACCGATATGGGCCGGCACAAACGTGTCATGACTTTATATAAATCTGCCTTGCAGTTTTCTCAGAGAAAAATATATCTAGTCATAAACCGTTTCTGCCGGACATATTTTTCTCTGAGGAAACTGCCGGGCAGATTTATATAAAGTCATAACACGTTTCTGCCGGCCCATGTCCGCCATCGTAGGTGGCTGCTGCTTTTGGAAAGAACAAAATGAGAAAGGAAACATCAAAAGAAATCCCGTGTTCCGATAATACAGACAGGTCGTGGTATAATTAGGCGAAGATTAAGAAAAAAAGAACAATATAAAGAACGAAACCATGCCCGACATATTCAAAATATATAAAAGAAAGCCGAATAATTAGCTGTATGATAGTGATGTGTTGGCTATAGTGCACTTAGTAGCACAAACAGTTACGAGAGTGTGAGTCCATGATCGAAACTGTTCTCTTTGGTGCATGTATGTGTGTACAAAAGGGGTTTCCCCTATTGGAAAAAAATCCCACAGTCGATTGACCTACATTCACAGCGTCGCGAGTGATCAGCAAAATACAATTCTACCGGGTCTATGTGTGAAATGGAACTATTCATCTTATGGATACGCGTATTATATGTAACTGATTTGTAGGATAGTGAACTACTCTAGAAAGCTCTCATTGCAAGACTCCGTTTTGTGGGAAAGGGCTCACAACCCGACACATATCGTCCCGATACCAAAACACGGGTGGTAGATGACTCTCGGTAATGTAGATATTGTCCATGTTAGGCTTTTTTTTGTACGGGTGGACGTGGGATGGGTCTCTGACCCGCGTCCGTTCTATTGACAGAGACATTTAAATACATTTGCATGGATATCGTCTTGATTTATGCATTCATATTTAGCGTCCGGGAAGGTTCTAGAAGACCGATCTGGTTAAAACCGGGAGAGTCTGAATATAGATAAAACGCAGAAAAACCCGTGACGTCATCATTACGGTAACACCCGTTTAGGGTGGTGCTGCGGGGTGGTGCGGGGTACCCCCGTTGGTGCTATAGGATTATATAGGCGGGGGGACTGGTCCAGAATCCCCACTTTCCCCACTACTGTTGGCAACGGACATATTCTATGGTTCAAGTTAGTGCTCCATAAAAGAATATTTTCGTTTCCAACTGCGTTCATACTACCGTACACATCCCTTGTTATTAACTAAGACCCCTTTGTATTTAATGGCATCCTTTTGTATAAACTGATACTTTAAAATAATCACTTAGTATTAACTGTTATCGATTTGGATCAACTCTAATCGTTGTTCGTTTACGGATTTCTTTTTGTATTTACTGACATCCCTATGTATTAGCTGACATCGCTTTATATCATACTGAACTCCCTTTATATAAATTGACATCCACTTGTATTAACTCACCTCGCTTCATATTTACTGAAATCTCTTTGTATCATACTGACCTCCCTTTATATAAATTGACGACCACTTGTATTAATTGACATCCCTTTATATTGACTGACATTCCTTTATATTAACTGAAACCCATTTATATTGACTGACATCCCTTTGTATAAATTGACACCAATTTATATTGACTGACATCCCTTTATATAAATTTACATCCATTTATATTGACTGACATCCCTTTGTATAAATTGACACCCATTTGTATTGACTGACATTCCTTTATATTAACTGAAACCCATTTATATTGACTGACATCCCTTTGTATAAATTGACACCCATTTATATTGACTGACATCCCTTTGTATAAATTGACACCAATTTATATTGACTGACATCCCTTTGTATAAATTGACACCCATTTATATTGACTGACATCCCTTTGTATAAATTGACACCCATTTATATTGACTGACATCCCTTTGTATAAATTGACACCCATTTATATTGACTGACATCCCTTTGTATAAATTGACACCCATTTATATTGACTGACATCCCTTTGTATAAATTGACACCCATTTATATTGACTGACATCCCTTTGTATAAATTGACACCCATTTATATTGACTGACATCCCTTTGTATAAATTGACACCCATTTATATTGACTGACATCCCTTTGTATAAATTGACACCCATTTATATTGACTGACATCCCTTTGTATAAATTGACACCCATTTATATTGACTGACATCCCTTTGTATAAATTGACACCCATTTATATTGACTGACATCCCTCTGTATAAATTGACACCTATTTATATTGACTGACATCCCTTTGTATAAATTGACACCCATTTGTATTGACTTACATCCATTTATATAAACTGACATCCATTTGTATTGACTGACATTCCTTTATATTAGCTGACATTCATTTATATTGACTGACATCCCTTTGTATAAATTGACACCCATTTATATTGACTGCCATCCCTTTGTATAAATTGACACCCATTTATATTGACTGACATCCCTTTGTATAAATTGACACCCATTTATATTGACTGACATCCCTCTGTATAAATTGACACCTATTTATATTGACTGAAATGTCTTTGTATAAATTGACACCCATTTGTATTGACTTACAACCATTTATATAAACTGTCACCTATTTGTATTGACTGGCATTCCTTTGTATAAACTGACATTCATTTGTATTGACTGACATCCCTGTATATTAACTGACATCCTTTTTGCATTATTTGATATTCCTTTGTATTTACTATATTTATTTCTGTTCTATTATCTAGTGTCCCTTTGCCGTATCTGCTATTATACAATTATGGAGAACAAAAGCCCATACCAGTTTCATTATATGCTATTATGATTTTATTAAATAACAAGAAAAAAAATTAAAAAAATCAAGATTCTGATTTGTTTCTCCATAATTTGCCCCCATGAGTTCAATGGAAATGGCTTTGGACGCTCGTTTTGACTTTGGAAATTCTTAACCATTGATGATGTCAAATTCCTGCAAAATATCTATCCAACTCATGCCTTACAGACGTGAGAGTGGGCTTTGTGTATAGTTCCATGACCTTAACTGGAACGAGCATGAGTTGAATCCAATAGCTTGGCATAGTAGCTTTCGACGACATCGTCAAGGTTCTTTTCCTTAAGAAAAGCATGGAGGACACGCATACTGGGTGTTCGGAGGCCTTTATTGTGTTTGCCAACATCTTTATCTTAGTTTATCTATATTTGGACAGTTTCAGATAAAACAGAGTTAAAGCGTTCGCCAGTAGTCGTCGACAGGTTGCGGGAATTTCC